CTGTCAGGCCGGGGAGCAGGCCTGGGCCCCTTCCTCTCCGCCCAGACACAGGGGAGATGGCGGCCGGCCGGCCTGAGATCGTGGGGAACAGGGCTGGTTGCTTCGCTCCAGCTTCGTGACCTGCTCTGAGCTTCTGGTGACGTGAGTTTCTGGCTTCAGCCCAGAGGGTTTCCTGGAGGGGCCTCAGGGTGAGCAGGGGATGCAGGGAGAGGCTGGTCCACCTTCCCCTGCCTCGTATCCGGGAGCCGGGGAGGTCTGCACTCCCAGGCGTGGGGCTGGTGGCCCAGACCTTGTGGGGATGGGCAGGGAGTGTGGTCAGCCGGTGTGGCTGTAGGGCCTGGACCCAGCCTGGCTCTTTCCTGCCTCTCAGACCCTGGAGTTCACTCAGGCTCCAGCCGCTGCTGCAGATGCCAGGGCCTGAGCTGGGGAGGCCATCTCGGAGCCGGGGGCCCCTCAGGAGGCACGGAACAGCCTGGTGGAGGGTGGGAGCTGGGGACGTGGCGCCTGCAGCCTCGCTGGCCGGCTGGACTGTGGGAGGCCCAGTGGGGTGACTCACTGGGGCTCAGAGTTGAGCAGGATGGGGCCCAGCTGTTCGCAGAGCTGCGGGGATGTCCCTGTGTTACTGCAAACTGAGCAGGGAGGGGGAAGGGGAGGCGTTTCCGCCGGCTGACCTCCCTGGGAAAGGCTGTTGCAGGCCGCGGGCTGGTGGTGGCGTGGCCCAGCCAGGGGCATGGCCATCCCTGTGTCCAGCCTGCACTGCCAGGGCCTGAGGAGTTTCCGGGGACGAGCCTTTGGGTCTTGGGGACACAGCACAGCTGGTCTCCTAGTTGAGTCTGCATAGCTGGACTTTGCTGTCCCTTCAACACAGTGGCCTGGGATGGGGAAACCGCGGCTCCCAGAAAGCACGCAACAGGCCCAAGTCCCCGTAGACACCGGGATCGGAACCCAGCGTTTTTCAAGTCTGGACCACTGAGGCCAGTGCGAACGCGGCCCAGCCCCGGTGGCAAATGCCTGGCACTGACCCAGCGCCCCCTCCAGACACGCCTGTTAGGGGCTTCCTCCCGCCTAGCAAGGAGCAGCCCCCAGCCCCTGGCAGGTACTTCTACCCGGTCAAAGCTGGTGGCCACGTGACATCTGGGCCAGACTTGAGCGTTCCGTCTCTAGTCCTCCAGGGAGGCAGGCACCCCACTCCCCACTCCCCACACTGAGCAGTTGATGCCCAGCCTGGACCCCAGGTCTGAGATGGCCCTTCCCACCTCCCAGCTCCTGCTTAGAGCCTTGCCCATAGCGCCGCCCCTCGGCCCCTCTCTGCCGCTCCCTCTTCCTTGCTCAGCCTCTTGTGACTCCAGACTCACAGTTGCCTCCTCCGATCTCTGCCTCCGTCGCCCCGTGGCCTTCTCCCCGTCTGGGTCCCTCCTCCTCCTGTAAGGACACCGGTCATTGGGTAGGGGCCACCCTAGCCCAGGGCAAGTTCCTCTCCATCATTAGCTAACCACACCTGCAAAGACTCTGTTTCCCAGTAGGGTCACATTCTGAGGTTCTGGGTGGACATGAATTTGGGGGGACACTATTCACCCCGCTTTCTGATGCAGACGCAGAGTGCATCAGACAACGCAGGAAGCACAGAGCCCTTGGCCTCCTCGTTCCTTGCACCCTGGACTTGCAGGCATGTGAGTCCCCGCTGGCCGGACTATAACACAAGACTTCGTCCCCTGCACACACTCAGGGCTCACGCGGCTCTCCCGCTTTCCGTGGTCCCCTGCTCCCCCTGCACGCAGGCCTTCTGCCTG